GTCCATTGGATACTAAAATTTAAAGTATTGGAGTTTATAGGTAACAGAATTGGCAAGATTATTCAAATTTATAAGAATATTATGTAATAACAGAAGGTAATATGCATGTCATGCATATAGGTAGATTTAACTAAACATTTACTTGCCATTTTTGAATTACATGAGTAAATTCATAAAGTGGAACATAAAGGGCTACATATGCTTCGTCTAATATGTGGTAGATTTTGGTATCCATAAAATCTTGTATGGATGAAGCTGCCACAATTAGTAGAAATCAATGAAATGATAAAGGAAAGAAAGCCATGAAATGAGTGGTCAAAGAACTAGATTATTGTCCTAAGCTAGATTCATAGATGGTAATACGGCAATAATGCCATCAAAGAAAGCCCAATGAAACAATGTTGCAATAATTAGGGTCAGGTTTAAGGTATAATAGGGGATGATGTGGCTTAATGTGCTCAAGGTAAGGGATTGAGGTTTGTGATCCTACATAAGCAAAACAATTAGGTTGATTTGGAAGGTACCACTTAAGATGATGCTCCCACTCATTATGAGGGACTTATTAACACTAACACACTAAGTATTATTGTCAAAAGAAAAGATAAACGAAAAAAATATACGAGTAAGACACAAATAAACAATCAGAGTATGAAGACGGAAAAATTTCCTAGAAGGGTGCATGAATTTCATTCTACAAGTTGTGAAGATCACTATTCACTTTGGAGTCTATCTAGCAAGTGTAATAGGTAATTGTAGTAAATAATAAATTTTAAAATTGTGAGTTCCAAGTATCATTCACAAGGATTGACATATTCAACTACCAATTCACAAGATTAAAACCTATTCAAGCATAATCAAAATATGAGAAGATTTGAATTATTGATACCTAAAGCATAAAAGTATAGAAAATTAGAAAGAATGTAGTAAAATGTTTCACAAGGAGATTACTTAATCAATTGAAATTAGGGTTTAGGGTTTTTAATTTCACCTATTTGTCAATTGTAAAACTAATTACGATCTGAATTCCTACGTTTATTAATTGATTGATGATCAATTTCACTAGGTTAATCAAAGTTCAATTCATTGACTCAATTATCCTAATATCTAATCAATTACCCTAATTCCTTATGTGTGAATCAATCAAATATTGCATTAAGTATGAGAAAATAAGAGATCAAAAGATAATGAAGGCTTATTCTTAAGATATTATTAATCTTAACATTCAATCCAAATTTAGATGTTCACTCAACTTCTATTGATGTAAAATCTCTAAGTTTAATTCAATTGAATAGCTAATCTAAGAATTGCATTAAGGAAAGAATTAAATGTTTAATATAATCAAGAAACTAAAACTCAAATCCACAATTAATTTACAATTTCAAAATAGGATCCATCAATCTCTAACAAAAGAAATCAAAACATGATTGTAGAAAAATGAGATAAAGAAATAGTAGAATAGAATGTATAGAAAATTTTCATGAATCCAAATCCCAAGTTTGATTCTTCTAGAATTGAGCCTTAAAATATGTCTTCAATCCTCTCTCTCTTTCTCCCTCTAACTCTTTAAGAGTGTGGAAAAAAAATTGAGAAAAGCTCCTTTAAAATATGAGTTTTAGGTTATTTATAACTTTTTTCCGCTTCTAGCATAACCACTTTTGATACTAAACGTGTTTACGTGAGGACAATTCTCCTTTTCAAGCTTTACAACACTCATTTTTAACACAAAAACTACTTACATGCAGTCCTCTTCACATATATTGTTCATTGGAAGGCTCACTCTTAGCACTAAGAGTGATCACGCATACCAAATACCCTCTTAAAATCTTTCAAAGTGAACACTTTTCACATGTAAAGTGAATACGCACAAGTTATGCTCTCTTCAAAGCCTTCAAAGTGCTTATGCTCACATACTTCACTTTTCTAAATCTCTAGAATGCTTACTTTTTGCCCTGAAAGTGATTACACTCAACCTATTTGACCTCTTAAGGCTTCTAATTCATGTGTTTTGTATAATTTTCTACAAAACTAATTGAACAACAAAATTTACATAAGAACTCTATTAAATCTAAACAAATTGAGTTATTAAAAACAAAATTGAACTATTTGAACAATTATCATTTTCTTACTAAATTTAGATAAGAACTTTATTTAATCTAAACAAATTAAGTTATTAAAAACAAAATTGAACTATTTGAACAATTATCATTTTCTTATGAGATTTTATTATTCTAAACTACAATTTTCTATTCAAAAGCTATTAGAAAACTAACTAAAAATCTAACAAAATCTAGATTTATTAATCACAAGAGATGTTGGCACACATATGTAAGAATGTGCAAAGGTTTCATTTTCAAGTGAGATCTTTATCAAAATAATAAACTCAAATATAGTCATTAATGATAAAATGATTAATTTTCATAAAAGGTTGTTCCTATTGAGCCTATTTTTGAAGAGCTCCAACTAAAGTCTTTTGGTGAGGACACAATTGACCCAAGGACTGACCAAGATCCATGGATAAATCCTCACTTTATTGGGCCCTTAAATTCACCTTTGATTTTTTATAGATGACATGGACAAAGACAATTCAATCATGAAAAAGTAGGTTCAAATTTATAAAATGAAGATATGAATTTTGTGCTTCAGAGTTCAAACTGCACCCAAGAAATAATGAATCTATGTAGACACTATACAATGTTGATTGAGGGTAGCAAAAATGATAATATTTTTTTGTGGAATGTTTGTGTTGTGCCTAACCCAATCTTTTTTAGATATTGTAAACAATATGTTGGTAAAAAGAATGTTTGTAGTGTGACTAACCCAATATTTTTAGATATTGTAAATAACATGTTGGTAAATCTCATCCTTTTATGATTGTTATAAAATGTAACTTAGTGTCAACTTCTTAGTTTTTAGATGTTTTTGAATTATCAAGGGAAAAGATTTTTTGCTAGCATTTTGGTGGCTTGGAGAGTGGATATTGCTCATGTATTTCATTCACTCTCATTTATAGGATATTCACTTAAGTCTCTAATTTTATAGAAAAAAAACTAGTATTTTACAATAATTTATCTAAATCTTGATGAAGTTTCTAGAGTTACCACTTTATTTCTTTTAAATATCATTAAGCTATGTAAAGATAGTTTTTTTCCTAATTTGACATGTCTTGATACTTTTTGCATAAGCTGATTGTGATCAAGTTTAGGTTGTTTGCTATAAGAGTTTTTAAATTTAACCAAATTATCACGAAGTGAGCCCTAAATATACCATTTTGTATGAATATAATCTAAAATGTTGGAATGGGTGGGCCACATATTCTTCATATGAAAAGGATTATTACAAAGGATATCACGTTGGCCATGAATTGTAACTAAAATAAGACAATAATCATTTAATCTAACCTAAGATAACGTCAACAAAAGTTTCAAAGAATCTTATCCTTTCATCATCAATCCAAAGGCTCTATTAAGTTTTTCAAAGATGTGTTAATACCTATAAAAGATTAGGCCCTTTCAAGTAAAGAAAGATTTCATAAAATCTCAGTCCATTAATTAAACAATACTTATTAGAAGATTAGAGAACACCTTGCATTTTCTTTGGCTGATTGCAGCACCACTTTTTTATTTTTTATTTTTTATTTTGCTTACAGAACACATCATCAAAATCACTAGTAAACATCCATGGGACATCTGCACTCTATGATTTTGGAAATCTCTTCTATAGTTATTTTTCTTTTTTGGGTGTTAACCTATTTTCCTTACAAAAATAAAATTAAATAAATCTAAAGATTCTTAATGAATAGTTTGGAAAGGAAAATTTTGAAAAAATAAAAAATAGGAAAACAACTTTTAGTATAAATAAATAAATTTCAATTTAATAATTTTTAAAATAGATTATATAAAATGATAAAAAGTGATTATTGTCATAAATAGTATTTACTTTTATTAATTTAACAAAAAAATGAATATGTATTTAATATTACAAGATAACAAGATTAAATTAACAAATCATGACTAACCACTTTTGTCCAAAAAATAATAATTTTTGGCTACAATATAAAAGTAGTCGTACATCTATCAGTGTTTTTTTATTTTAGTTTCAATAAAAAAAAAAGTGATGTGTTTTGTATTCTTAATTTTTTTCTATTTTTTTAATTTAATCCTTTTCTTAATAGACGTTACAAAATAAATAAAACTTTATACTGTAGTCCTTACATTTATTTATATTTTATATTTTTGTCTTTATCACATTTTTGCCACCATTTACAAGAATTTTTGTTTGTGAGAACCAGAGTATTCTAATCACTACCCATTAGACTAATGAACTTCTAAGAAAAAAAAAAAGTAAAGATATTGAGGTGTTCATTTTAAAATTAAAAATAAAAAACTATATACAACTCCTAAATTTTAATTTCCAATCGTATAATTGAAGAACAAAATAATTTTGTAACAAGTGACAAGATAAATGACATCGATGAATTACTTTCTAACATAACTCAATGAGAAATAAGAACATAAAATATTGATGACGTTAAAGGTATGAGTAATAAAAGGAGACACTAAACAAAGTGGGAAATGGTTTTCTAAAAACACAAACACTTGCGGAGGCGTTAATTCCGAATTTCAGACTTGAACGTTGGAAAAATAATATTCTAGATCATCCTGTGTTAGTCATAAATGGTTCTTTGAACTTTGGTAGATAATTATTTGTAAAACGTAAGAAACTGATGATTTTTATTATAATTTTTTAAAAAAGAAATAATAAGAGGATAACTATCATCATTTTATATGTTTTGCCATTAAAACAAGTCTTAATATTATATTATAAGAATATGTTTTCTCTAGAATTTTCATTTGACCGAGAATAAGTAGGTTGCAGTGGAACGGTATTAGCGTAAAAATTCCAGTTTGGCGTGCAGGGGTATTTGGGTCTATCGAAAAGAAGCGTGTTAGGAATAATTTTCCTATTTATGCAAGTAATGGAAAATAAAGTTTTGAATAAAGATGGAGAAAAAAGAAGAAGTGGTTGTGGGAGTGCCAGTGTATTACGGCGGCGAAAACGAATACCAAAGGGGAGTGGTCCCTCCTAACGCGGTGGTGGGAGATCCGAAGGGCATCCCAATCCAGCAGACCATTTACAGGGACACTCCTGCTCCATTCAACTGCCCTTTATGCGGTAACACCGGTCTCACTACCGTCAGGTATTCTCTTCAATTCCCTGTCATATCCTTCTTCATTTTTTATTCAACAACTATAATGATGATACGTCAACACAACTCTATTTCACCCTTGCACTTCCACTAGTGTTACGGATCCATGTGTACATATACAATTCTATTCAACAACAACATGAGATCTTGTTAGGCTAGTCTGTTAGATAACAAATACGACCTCTGCTCTGGGTAGCTCGTCTCCAACTTAACAAACAAAATACGAGTTTCACTTTTTCATTATTGAATTTGCAATCAAGATGGCTGTTATTGTTATTATCAGGAATCTTCTTTTCAAAATTACATCACACTAGCACAGCAATTGACCATTTGTTCTGCTTTTGCTACCTAGTTCATCTTTTGATTCTGTTTGTCTATTAAACTTGTGTTCGCTAGCTGTATGTCTGGATTGAAGTGTCATTTAGCCTTTGGAGAAGAACATCTTGTTTGAGATGTATGTGTAACCAGAAAGCATCTGCCAAAGATGATGTAACTCATGGTTTCCATCTTTAGCCTGGGTAAGGGGAAGATTTATGGTGTCAAAGATTTACTTTGCGTCTGAGGTTTCAATTGACTTGCTACAATCAGTTCAGTATTGAGATTTAAGGCTAGGTCGAATTTAGGTTGACTTGCAATTACTTACACACCCCGAGGCACTTACATGACGAATGTTAAATTGGGATTGATAAGCACAGCTACATTCTGCAAATTTGTCAATTTTAAGACAATCGTTTCTTGTTTTATTGATTTATTCATTCCCTAGAGTAAGATTTAAGCATAATATGTAATATAATTCGCTCAAGAGCACATCCATTTTGACCTTTTTTTTTTATGATTTCTGAAACTTGATTGGGTTTTGTTTTCTTATGTTTTAACTGAAAACAGATCAAAGCCCAGTCTGGCAGCAGTTGTTGGATGCTTGATGCCAATGATGCTTGGAGTTTGCTTTCTTTGTCCTTCAATGGACTGCCTCTGGCATAAATATCACTACTGCCCTAAATGTCATGAAAAGGTATTATCGTAGTAGCTCCTTTAATGGATATCACTGCTCTAAATGTCCAATTGCAACTTAATGTCAGTATTGTTATGTTCATGTATAGGTTGCTGATTTTGAGAAATCAGATCCCTGTGCTGTGATGGATCCGCCACACTGGACACAGGAGAGCTTTGCATTGTCTGGATAAGATGATAATTCTGTTTCTGGCATTTGGACTTGCTTTTTCTGCATATCTAAAGAAGTAGCTGTTATGTGTGCATGGGACAATGAAAAATTCTGGTTACTTGCTGCTCCTGCGTTTGATCTAAATTTGAGTTATCTACTTGTACATCTGTTTGCATAGGGATAATACTGTATACACTCATGTTTTGTCAATATTATAATTTAAAGAGAACCGCAGGCATCCACAATCTGCATGCTTTGTTTTGGCCTTGGTAAGAGAACAGTTGAACTCAGTTGTTTGGTGATGAGGAGATATTCAACCTCTCATACTTCTATTAAATTTAATGAATATATAATCTGTGAATGTTTGTACACTGAGAAGTAATTTTTATATCAATAACTTCCATCCTGAAATAAAACATCCAAATTAATTGCTACTATGGAATATCCCATGTGTTGGTTTACTACAGCCTTTTTAGCCATTAAATAACGAAAACTTATATAGAAGTTTTGGTAACCTTAAAATAATTATCAAAAAAATAAACGAAATTCTCTTAAAAAATATGTCAGCTATTATAGACACTTTTATTTCACGTCGATTCAAATCGTGTAGCAAATATTCTTTTTCGATACACATACTTGTTATTTTATCATTGTTATGTTGTTGCATGACAGTAGTACAATGAAACAAATGCAATTGGAGTGACCTCAAGTTTCAATCGTTTTCGAATGTATGCAGTTCTCGAGTGCACTTGTCAATCAATTAGATTTATAGAGGTGTAACAAAATGGCAAAGCAAATAGACTCAATGGTCTTCAATTTTTTTCTAATGTAGTTTCATTGTAGTTCTTAGTTTAATTAAAATTTTATTTTAGTGTCTGCTTTTTCAAACGTCTTTTATGTTAGTCTTGTTAAGTAACTACTATCAAAATTGTCTATTTAAAACTTTATCTAGTATGTCAATATTTTATTTTAATTTATGATATGATTAAATATATTTTAGCATATTTTATTTTCATAATAAAGTATATGCATGTATAAAATAAAATTCTAATGTTGCATAAGGAAAGAAAAGTTTTGCTAAATATTAATTTGTGATTATCGTGACAATCTAGTTGTTGGTATTTATAAAAATTTAGAACATTACTTTTGAGGTTATTTTTTGGAATATAGTTGATTATTCATAAAGATATTTAGTTTATTTGAGTTGAGAGTAATTTTAAAATGAATTACCGTTAGTTTTATCTGTTTTGATTATTTTTCATTCTATGTTCTTTTTTATTAGAAATTTATTAAAGAGTATCAATTTCATTAGACTTGGATATTCTTATAGGAAAACTAATCAAAATGCTAATAAGCTAACCAAAATTGATATTAAAAAAGGGTTGAGTTGTGTTCATTTGATAAGGCTCATCTTCCTCTTAATCCATTCTTAAATTTAAATGCTTTAAGTATTTGGAGTCCCATTAAAGTTTCGTAAGCTTCTTTTGTGGTTGGTGGGCTTTTTAGCCCCTTTTATTATATAAAAACAATTTGCTAAATACTTTGTTCTTCCTAAAATATTTTTGCAATTCAAATTAAAAATTACAACTTGTCGTTTCTGTTTTATATCTATCTTAGAATTTCTTCATGTTTATTTCTTGGAAATAATAGATTTTTTTTCACTTTCTTTAAATTTTAAGGTTCACTATTTTTTTTTACACGTTCTTTTATATATATATATATATATTATACATGCAATTGTACATGTTATTGCATTTTTGGATAGAAAAAAATAAAGAAATAAAAAATTTATTTTAAATATAGAAACGTGTGAGATAAAACTCAATTTTTAAAATTATAATATGAAAAAGCTTTCAATTTATTTAAAATATACGTTACATTATCTTTAGATAAAGCGTGTCTAATAGTGAATTGTTTCTTAGTTAAAATATATTATTGTATATTTAATGTATGTAATGTGATTAATTATTATTTAAAAGTTTGAAATTGACTTATATAAAATAGTTGTTCATAATTTAAAATTTACTTGTTATATATACTAATTATTCATATAGAGTATAATATTACTGATAAAAGAGTTTAATATATTAAATTATTGTAAAAAGATTAGACATTAATTTATAAAGAATATTTATTAGCATATCCTAAATTTAATTTAGGAAAAAAGGTTAAAAGACTTCAAAGTTGAATGAGACAATTTTTAATTAATTATTCTCATTTTTTTATAAAATGCTATAAATTATGGTTACATTATGGCATTCTAGATGTAAAAAATAAAGAGAATTAAAACTGAATTATCTAAATGTTGATGAATTTGATAAACTGAATTTTATTTTAGATATACAAAAGTTGTTTATGCTAAACTATGCATGGATGGATTTAAGTGACATATTTTTAACTATGTCTAAGAGTAAAATGAAATGTTAATAAGTTAAAAACTGAAGGAAAAAGATTTTATAAAGTTAGAAATTAAAATAATTCTTCACTCTAGGACTAACTTATCAAAATAAGATACATATGTACATGCTTCTATCTAAAATTTATTACCATTTTTGTTAAATTACAATGAGGACAACATTTACAACATTTAAATTTCTTGCATGTCGCCTATGGAATCAAACAAAGAAATTAAAATGCAGATTTTGAGTAATATTTGAAAGGATTTTATTAACCTCAGTCTTTAGGGTAAAGATAAACAGTTAATAATAATAAAATTTTATTAGAAAAAGAAGTATTTATTATACTTTTATAACTTCATATTTTTTTACTATTATTAGCTACTTATTCTAAACCTTTACACTAAAATTAACAAAACTCTATTTGAAATTAAATAACAATGTGAATATTGTGATGATACTAAATTAAAAAAGAATTTTTACTTAATTTTCTTTTTTGAATTCTAATTTTTAAATAAAATTATATTTAAAAATTATTGCAGAAGAGAATTTTTTAAATATTATTTTTTTAATTTAATCTCAATTTAAATTTTATATTTAAATTTTCATTATTTATAACATTAAAACATTTATCTCTTTAATTTAATATTATTTAATAGAATAGAATATTTATTATTTTAAAAAAAATTATAAATTTTATATGCTTTATATACAATTTGTGAATTTTAATTGTTAAAAAAAATATTTTTAAAAATAATCTTAAACAAAACCCTTCTTCTTTTTATTAGAATTGACAACATACAAGCATTTATGTATATAAAATATCTTTATATATAGTCTAGTAAAAAAAAATTAATAAATATCAATGAATATTCATAATTAGTAAAAAATTAATAAATATTTATAAATGTTCATAAATAGTCACGTGCTATTCATTTAATAGTGTTGTATAGTGATGAGTTGATTGAGTTCAAATATTAATAACATATATTGCATCATTAATATTTCTAATCACAACCATTCTAAAGTGGTTATATTTAGTAAAACGAGTTGAAAGTAGTGAATTTTTATTTTCTAAATGTAAAGCCAGCTGAAATGATTTATAGCCAAAAACTTTTATCTGTATAAGTAGTTTACATATTTAAAATTATTTAGCAAATTAAATGTACAACTAATTGGGCTTAATGATTAAAATAATGTTTTTTTAAAAATTTATTATTAAAATAAATTAAAAATCAAATTAATTCTTTATTTGGGACAAATTTTTGTCAACTCAACTTATATTTCGTATAAAAATTAGATAAAATTAATTTTTTTTTTTTATTTAACTATTTCATCTAAAAGTAAGATAAAACACTCCATAATTTGACACATATTAATAATTTCGTATGAAACTAAAACAAAATTATAAGACGTAAACACGTGTTTAAATCTTGTTAAATTCATCTTGACAAAATCATATCTAAATTAAATTCTTTTGAATTGTCGGTTACTTCCCTGCGCAGTAAATGTACAATACAAACCAAAGTTCAAAAACCAAAACTGAGACGAATGTTGATGACTTATGATTATTGCATTGGAGCAAAAATATATAAAAATCTGACACAAACCTGAAGAGACAGATAAGACGGTAAGGAAAAGAAAAAGGAGAACAACTACTTTAGCCATAGGTGTACAGGTATATGTTATTTATTAATTTTTTAATTTTTTTAATTTATGTTATTATTGTCCTTATCAGATAAAACGTTATAATTATAAAATTATTATTTATTAATTTTTTACTATATGTTATTAGTCATGCATTGAAAAAATAAATTTCTTTCATCTATAGTAAACAAAAGTGTAATATAAAATTTTGAAAAGAATTATGAAAATATGAAAATAAAAAATCACCAATGAATAAAATTAGTTAAACTCAAAATGTGTTTTGAATAAAATTAACTAATTTTATATAAAAAAGACAAATTTTTAATTTAATTAATTTATTATTGGTGATTTTTTAGTTCTCATATTTTTATAATTTTAAAAAAATTGATATATAACATTTTTTATTTTACAAGAGTGAAATACTAAAAGAATTAATATAATTTTAAAATTAAAAGTTAATTTTTTTAAAAAGTAAAAAAAAAAAAAAAGTTGTATCTAAATTTTGTAAAAGAAAAAGGAAGCACGAGAGGTGAGGTGTACTTGTTAGATTTAAGAGCAATTTTTTGCTCTGGCTTTCTAATTGTGTCATTATTGGATAAATGAGAACCATTGTAAGGAAATACAGGGAAGGAACCGACAATTCAAAAGAATTTAATTTAGATATGATTTTGTCTACAATCAAGACAAATATAATAAGATTGTGCCACGTATTAACATCTCGTTTTCTCTAAAATTGAGACGAATTTAACGAAATTTAAACAAGTGTCGACCTCTTAAAATTTCGTCCAACTTTCATACAAAATTATTAACACATGTCAAATTATGGGGTGTTTTGTCTCACTTTTAAATGAAATAGTTAAATAAAAAATAAAAAAAATTATTTTTGTCTGACTTTTATACGAAATATAGACTAAGTTGGCAAAAATTTGTCCGACAGAAAATTAGTTTAATTTTTAATTTATTTTGGTAATAAGTTTTTAAAAAAATATTATTTTAATCATTAAGCCAACTAATTGACTTGTGTTAAATAACTTAAAAATAATATATAATATTATATTAATGCACTATTATAATTAATTCTCATTTATTTTATTATTTGTGATTAATTAATTAATTATATATTAAAATAAAAAAATTCATAAATATTTAAACGCAAAATATTCTAAATCATTATTTTTTAATATAAAATACATTTACATTGAATAGAGAGAAATCAAATAAAATAATAATAATAAACAAGTATGTTAAAATGTGAAA